TTTTTTTTATGTTCTATAAAATAGACAGCAACGATATAAAAGTAATGTGAGTTATAATGTTAATATGTTGAATGTTTTATACTCGGTCATTGGCGTTCGCGATCGTCTGATGTGTAAACGTATCAAGTAAGCTGTAAATAAGTGATGCATCGACAGACATATACGCGTGTCCTTTCTTATCAGTGCTGCAATTTATTTATCAGCTATGCATCTTCTGGTAATTGCTAACAACTATTTTAATTTTAATTTAGGACTGTGGCTGCATCACTCGCATAATTGCACAAGAAAGGCACACGTGTCGTTCAGTTTTGAGTTCGCCGGAAAATCATACTGAGCAAGTGCACAGTATAGTAATTGTACTTTCATTATGCCTAGACTATATGGTAATATTATTTGTGGTTGATAGTGTTAAAATGTAGTTTCTTTGTTATTGGCATTCTGTTTTCTCATGAAGTATGCATACATTTACATTTAGTCATTTAGCAGACGCTTTTATCCAAAGCGACTTACAAATGAGGACAATAAAAGCAGTCAAAGTTTCAAAGGCTGTTGGGTCTGATGGCAGCAGCGTCCAATGTGATACCTTTTGGCCTGCTGTACATGAGACCCTTGCATTGGTGGCTCAGGACCAAGGGATTTTCCCAGAGGGGAAATTCGCTTTGCATGATCAAGGTCACGCGGCGATGCTTACGTGCCTTGGACATGTGGAAGAAACGTTGGTTCCTGGCTCAAGGCCTGATGTTAGGGGCTCCTTGTCGTCGTGTAACGCTAACGACAGATGCCTCTCTCACGGGCAGTGTGCATATGTGCCTATGTAACCATGGTTCTCCGAGGGAACGAGATGCTGCCTCTTTTTGCCATACTCCTTGCATCCCTGCAGGCGCTACTTCATCGAAGCTAACTTGCACTCTGCCAGATTTTATAGTTCCTGGTTGGTCACGTCACCCCGCTCGTGACGTCTCGCTGCTCCATTGGACTGATTTTACACCTGCTTCAGAACGCGGTCACGCATCTCGTTCCCTCGGGGAACCATGCTTACATACGTAACCTGGAGACGTTGTCTCTGCGTATTAGGCTGGGATACAATAGAGTATTTTTGATGAAGACAAATGTATCGGAGTAAAAATATTTTTTTGTGTTTTTTTCATTGGCATACTTTCTGGCAGTAGAGTGATATATGATACATCTGTTAGGTCGTGTATAAAGATCCATGTTTTTCATTCTGTTAAGATTTATCAATAAAATAACATCTGTTAAAATGATGAATGTCAGTCGATCTCCCAATAAACCATTTGTCTTACCGCTTTTATTGGATGCAGTCTCAGGCAAATGAATAGCTCTCTACAGCCAGTGAGCCACATGGTTAACATCACAAATTCATTTTTCTCTTTCTTATCCTTTGATTTGTGCCAGTGGTCGACTGACTGCATTTGCTCAGAGGAAAAGAGGTGGAATCAGGCTGTATTTGTTTGTTCAGCAAAAACTTGCTGTGCCAGTCCTCCTCTTTGACTGCTCTGCTCTCACCTCAGGTTCTTGTCAGATAAAACAAGATGGAGAATTATCAAGCCACACAATTCAAAAAAGAAAAAAACTCAAACTGCTTCATTCTTATATCTGTCATGTACACACTGTTCCTGAAGATGTCATTGTGCCTGCTTTGGTTTATTTTCAGCTTATTTGTTCAGTTCATTTTGTGTCCTCATTTACCTACAACTATGAAGGTTGCATTGTTTGTAAATGTTATGTCAAGCAAAATGTCTAAACAATGAAAAATTCATGCAAAATCCAATGGTTAAAAATATAAAAATGGACATATTTACTGAAAAGATCAAATGTCATTAAATGAAAGTGAAGGCTTTTATTTTTACTCAACAGGTGTTGAGTATACTTTATCCATTATTCTATTTATGAATTATCTAATTTTAATCTAATCTAATAACACATTTTTACAGACAAACACTTTTAATGCAATTCCAGATTGATATAGTCTATATTTCTACAGGTTGTGATGTACAGTGATACAGTGTGATTTACAGGGGCTTTAGCATTGTGCCTGACATTGGCCTATATTTCTTTTTGTTTAAGGTTTGCTTCTGACTAGTAATCTATTTTTATTTTCCAGAATTCACAACAACGTCTCAGGTTACGCATGTAACCATGGTTCCTCGAGGGAACGAGACGCTGCGTCGGAGGATGCTTTGGGAATGCCCTTCAGCGTGACCGGCTCTGAACCCCGTGTGTAATCAGTCCAATAGAACCTAGAATAGGTTGTGGATGTAAGAGACCACCGCTGTGTTGTCGATGCGCACCAACACATGGTGACCTCTTAGGTCTGGGAGGAAGTGTCTTAGTGCACGCAGCACGGCCAGTATCTCTAGACAGTTTATATGCCATGTCAGATGGCGACCACTCCACAGACCGTGGGCAGGGTGGCCACTCATGACCGCACCCCAACCGGTGAGGGATGCATCCGTCGCTAGCGTTATGCGGCAACACGGAGCTCCCAGCACCGGGCCCTGAGACAAGAACCAAGGTTTCCTCCACATGTCCAAGGCACGTAGGCATCGCC